GATGCTACATGCACAGTCCATGCATGGGTGATCAGTCTCTCACTAACACTGAGTTTCCTCCAGGAGCCAGGGAGATGAAAACTACCACTGAGAAGAGGAAGGGGACTTAGGAACCCCACAGGAATTACAAGTTATGTTCTTGAACCTGTTTTAAATTTACATCTCGTGTCTAACCATATCGCAGGTTGGGGTGCACTTAATTCAGGCACTGTTACTAAACTGCCCTTTCTTAGCTGATTCAGTGTTATTGTCCCTTACAGCTAAGATAACAGAAGTTTTCCCATTGGTTTAAAAAGGCTTGGACCTCCCTAAGTAATACCCCTACTCAGCCATACCAGAGCTCACTGATTCTGGGGCCTTAATTCCCAGACCCTGTTTGCTGCTGGCTTCATCCCAACACTCCAGAATCTCTGCTCTGATGTGAGCAGCATCACATGAAAGCCATGAGCAATTGAAGGCAATTAGTGTCTTCAGGAAACAGCAGTTCCTCATGGAGAGGTGTGAAGAGCATTGCTGGAAGCACAGGTAGAACCCCCTCGTCCCCATCCCCAACAAACAGCTCAGCAAGGGAATGACCCCAACTAAGCAGTGGATCTACCTCCTAAAAGTCAGTAGGACAGAGCAGGAAGCCCACTGCTGCCTTCCCACCCATGAGATGGGCACAGCATCCGCTTGGCACAGCCCTGCCCTCTTGGTAAGGGGCTGGAAGGGACTTTCAACACCGTTCACACAATAACAACCCAGGTGTGGCTGCAGCCACTTCAGTGGCAGTTTCACAGTGAGCTCTCTGCATTCAGCAGACCTGAGGCGCGTTGTGATGGAGGAACAGGAACCTTGAGGTCTGCAGGATGCGAGCCCAGCCCTGCAGGAAAACCAACTCACTACGGTGTCAAAACCCAACAGAACGCTCCAGAGCTTGCACTCGGGACACATCCTGTGCTGCACCTATCACCAGTGCCCTCTGTGCAGAGCCCTCCAGCCCAGTGAATGGAGAGCAGCTATGAGAAAGGCTCATGCTATACATGATAACAACCGGCTGCCTCCCGCACCTCTGCTGAGCAAACCACTGTTTCCTGAACGGAGGTGTCAGGCATGACATACTGCACATGCTGGAGCAACCGTCACCGCCTGCAGCGCAGCAAACAGCACTAGAGCCTTTCCTGGTATTTGGTGCCTAAATCAGGGTGCGTCCTGTGGGGTGTTTGAGGTTCTGCAGTTGAGAGCTCCCTGGTTGCGCTGGGGGGGTGGCTGTAAAGTGCCTCTCGAGACAGGGTGGGTTTAGCCTGAGCCACTTTCTATCAAGGCATTTCTATAGCATGCCTGGCTGGAGAGTGCAGCCTGATGCTGCTGCAGCAGAGTGGTGCCAGAAGCCCCTGTGGGCATCAGGTAAGGCCATACCTGAAGGACTAAGGACTTGCTTCCTGCTATATTGTCCTTTCCCTGCAGCTAATATCCTTTCCTTCCACTCCACATCTCACCCATGAGGTGGGAAGTGACTCTGTCATTACTCATGACCCCGAAGGTCTGGCAGGCTGATTGCTGCATCTACATTTGCTTGTGTTCTTATCCCTGCAGGTATTCATTAATCATCCCACCGGGTCCAGACCCAACAAGTGCCCTGCAGACAGCATTGCCTGCAGGCAAGATTCTAATCTGAAGGTAACAGGGAATTAAACCCAAGAATGACTGTAGGTAGCCCTTTTAAACCACACGCAGTTCAAACAACTATATGAAAGCTTCCTTAGATATGTTTCTAAGGCATTAGGCACCCCAGATCAAGAGCTATTAAACCCCAGACCCTGCAGTTTACTTGCCTTTATTTCTCAGCCTAGTGCCCCGATATATTAGCTGGAGGCCTCCTCCCCAACCCCAACACATCCCCACCAGCAGCCCTGCACTCCTAGTTTATGTCAAGCACTTCTATCCTTGGGTAACAAGCAATAAAAACATCAAGCAATATCAAAGTACCTGGTGAAAGGAGGAGGTGATGCACTGCCAGCTCCCAACCTGGCTCTGCTGCACATCACTTTGTGATGCGCCACCCCAGGAGCTCTGTTTTCAGGTAAACATCATACAAAGCCCTTACTGATAAGCAGGATACAGCCACTGAGACATGCCCCTGGCTAAACTGCTCCATGGAAAACCCAGAGCAAGGCAGGGAGCTGAGCTGAGGCAAAGAGCTGCAGGTGCTGCTCACAGTATTTAAATGCAAATGACAACAAAACCCACTCACAAGATAAAGAGCAACACATGGGAACACACCAGAGCCCCTACAAAAATGCACTGCAGCAGCTTTACTTCCTATTTCCTTTTCCTTAGAGCTCTGAAAATAGTAGCTGCAAAGGTCAGGGGCTTTGTGGACAGTTGATTGCAAATAGGGAGTAAAGCCCCACCATTCCCAGCCTGATCCTTCCTACTGGTTTCCTACCTGGAGTACCATCAGGTGCAAAGCACTGCAGTGCAGAAGGTGGTTTATGAGGGGAGATTTGGTGACAGCAATACCTGGTGGTGGGATCTAGGGATGCCTGGGGCAGGAGGGACCAGCTCAGTGATGCAGCGTGGGGCTGCCAGAGCCCAAAGGCAGCTTTGGGTCTGAATCAGCTCTTTTCTGGTGATGCCTGCCGAAGCGTCTCTTGCAAACAACCAAATTCCAACTGGTTTTTATGTTGAAGCAGCACCAAGGCTCCTGGCATTGAACTGTGAGAGTCTCTGCACAGATACTGAGGTGTGCTTGGTCTCACAGTCTAGGGGAAAGGACACACAAAGCAGGAATAAGGACTACCACCCAGACCCTGTGCGTTGCACCATCACCAGAACCACTTTCCTCCCCCTCCTCACCACTGTGCACTGTGACCCCCAAATGGAAGCACCATCCCTGGTGGCAAATGAGGCCCCTGGGCACTGTGGTAGGACCAGCACTAGTTAAATACACCAAAAAGACACAAACAGCAAGGCAGGGGTGAGCTGGTGGGAGTGTGACTGCAGGTATCACTTGGCCAGCTCCGGCCTGATTCAATGCAAGGATCCCAGCAACTATCTAATGGTCTGACACACACTGTACAGGGTATCTGAGATACCAGTTGGTGTCTGGTTAATGTTAAAGGTCAGGGAAGTGGCCCAAGGTTTGGTGAAAGAGAAAAGAAAGAAGGGTCTAGCTAAAAAGAGTGGGGAAAGTCAGGTGCGAAGGAGAGAGATTATCCCCATGGCCAGAGAGCATGGTGTAAGTATTTTACTCTAGCTTGTATTGTTTGTAGTCATAAAAATACAGAAGGGATGATAAATGCCCATTTGAAGATAAAATGCAATAGGAATAGCAAGGACTTAATCTGAAATAGCTAAAGTATGTGTTGGTCCAAGGCTGAGAGATCCCTGGCAAGCAAGTGATGAGAAGGACTTGAAGTCGATGAAAGAGGCAGTATCAGGAAATGGGAACTGAAGCAATATCTACTGGTGGGAAAAGAGAAGTGGCTGGGATATTTCTCAGCTGGTTTCACATCCAGGCACCTCCTTCCACACACAGTCACTCCTGCTTTATAGTGAGTGGGAAAGTGAGAGGTCTGAGCCAGGCTCTGTATCACCGAGGGTATAAGGATGCCAATGGAAATACGCCATCGGGCAGGAATGATTCATGGAGCACTTCATATTTAAGACACCATTTTCCTTCTCATGCAAAAGCTGCAATAGGGAGAACAACCCCTCCGTTGCGAAGTCTGGCTTCCTGCTGGCACGCTTGAATTGTTTTCTACCCAGAGGAGAAAACATTAAAACCAAAAGGATTGTTACTTATGCTTGGCATTAAGGACTGTTTTGGTTCAGTAAATGAATGTGTAAGTGATAGGAGTAAGATGCAGAGTAAAGAGCATTGCAGGTGTAGAGGACACATTGCAGCTTGGTACCCAAATGTGGATGGATGCCAGGAAGAGTTACAGAAGTGGTGGGGCAAATTAGCACTGAGCTCCTATCCAGCAGCAGAACTCCCTGGCTGAAGCACCAAAAGTTGCTTTGGGATATGGATTCATATTGGTCTCATACATGGGGATCACAAGACACCCCCAGAATAAAGTAACCCCCGACTCGTGCCCATCAGGACAGCACAGGCCAGCACAGAAGGCTGTTGAGTAGAGACACTTGCGCTTGTTCTGGCTGTAGCATCTGCATCACCTCCCTCCAGATCTGTAGTTGTGCGGGTTTATTTTAGAAGACCCAAGTACAGGGGCAGGTTTAGGTTTCTGCTTGCTTATATTTACATCATAAAACACATAAATGTATCCCAGCACCGCAGCAACCGACCGCACGAGCCAACAGACAACAGCCTTCCTTGGCTGTACTCAGAGACTGGGCTTGGTTTAATTCCTGATGTAACTCTGCCAAACAGGGACTTCCTGCTTCTTCCTATTGTAACTCAGGGTGTTGTATGCTGTTTAAAAACACATTTGGAGAGGCTGTTTTATTGCGGGTGTTTCTTCAATACCAGTTTGTCATTTATATTCTCACCTATCGGCTGTTTCATCCCAATCTGCTTTGGAATTTGGCAGTGAAGTTTAATGAGGTTAAAGTAAAACCTCTCAAAGATGAAGGAGGAAAAAGCTGGGTTTTGAAAAGAGGGGTTTAGGGAGTGGGTGCACAGATAACAGCAGTGAGAAAGGGAAGTGCTGCTCAGGATTTCTCTGTTCACACCACTTGAATGCTTGCAGCTGATGGGGTCCTGTACTCGGTGACTGCAGCTTCCACCCCGAGCAGCTCTTTACCTCCCATCAAAGAGAAATCTGGTGTCTCTACCACCACTACCTAGCGCAGGATTTCTAGTGCAAAGGAGGAAACCTGCATGGCTGGAGCCACAAGGTAATGCAGTTCATTCAGAGCAGAATGCAGGGGGTTTGCACCCACCGCAGGCTGCAGGGATGGAGGAGGGCAAGGAATGAGTGTGATCCAGACACATGGGCTCTGTGTTGTGTCCCCATCTTAAAATGCATAACAAGGGCGATGCAACTTACTACAGGTCTGTTGTTCACCATCGCCTATCAGAGTCCTTTAGAAACACCAGCAGGGACCGGTGAAGCAGCAATACGATGACTGAACTTATACTCACCTTTAAGCAGCCTGGGAAACAGTAACCACAAACTTGAAGTGAATATATCCAAAGCCACAGGGGTTTGCCTCTTTTTTTCTCCCCCCTCGACCCCCCCATTTTTTAGCTCATCAGCCACAATACTTTATAAATACATTTGTAATACACCAAAAAAGAAGAACTGAAAATTCCAGAGGTGCATTTTATGCAGTATGAAATGTGGTCATCTCCAGTTTCATATCTTAAATCTGGCTTTTGCTGTATTCCAGTATAAGACTCAGCATGAAAGGAGCTGTATAATGGCCTATATGGATAAATGTTACATATACAAAGGAGAAATGAATCCTGCCAGCATCCTTGAGGAAATCTGCATCTGAAATCTGAACTAAAATGTGGAGCTTTAAAGATTATTTTTTTTTCCACAAACCTGTTTTATTAAACTCCTCTTTAACATCCTTAATTTAATTTTCAGTGCAGATGGTGCTACTTATCAAAAGCTTTCTAAATAATATCGGAGTAGGTATAGCACTATAGTTTAGGATAAGAAACCTACGTATAGTTGCTCAGTTAGCGAAGTCCCTTTTTCAAACCTCCTTCAAATAGTGTGACAACCCCAGAAGGCTGTACTGTAGAGATACAATATACACATTCATTCCACCATGTCCCCATGTGCCTGTGGGAATATGAGCTTTAGACTCCTGATACATTCACAAGCCAATTCCTAATGAATCAAGTAGCTCCAGGAAGGCAAAGAGTGCTCCTGAAGAGAGGGTTGAAGTGGGATGAATCAGTTCAGCCGAGGTTGGTCTTTATTTTGCACTAGGCAGGGGAAGCCCTTGCTGGGATCCCTGGTTTTGCTCATTTGGCCACTGAAATCCAGAGGTACCTGATAACAACCTTGGTAGGGTCAGAGTCTGAACGTCAGTGAAGGTAAATCCAGCGGTGATGGACACAAACAAGGTCCAAACCTCCGACAGCGACGCGATGTGAGGTGGGAGCTGCCCTTCATCCCTCACAACACAGCTGCATGCCGAGGCAGTCGGCTACTCCCATCAGAATGGATCCACTTCTCTGGAAGTGACCTAAAACCACACAGCTGGAATGCCAGCATTCCCAAGGCTCCCACAAAGGGCAGGCACGGGCTGTGTTCTGGCTGCAGAAGGCAGGAGAAACGCCAGAACTAAGATCTTAATCTTTCCTAGTTGCAAAGCACGTGGCTGAGAGCCTGGATGCAGCATCAGGAGTGACTCAGCCAACTTTCTTCTGATTTCCCTGCGGTGTCCCTGTGTCACAACAGCCACCCAACAGCCACTGCATGGGGAAAGCTTCCCAATGGCATTGCCCAGCCTCCGGGTGTGCAGCCCATCAACGGTGGCTCCATGAGCATCCACATCCCTGCTTCCAGTGCGGAGGTTTCCCAGCTCTGGCTTCCTCCCGTGCCTCTTCTGGCTATAAACCATGCATCAGGAGCTGTAAAGAAAGGGACAATGTCAACGTATTAAATATTACTGTATTCTTAGATCAGCTGATAAAAAGAATTCTGTCTTCACCAAAATGTATTTATTTCTTTACAGCTGATACCTATTCTCCCTGAGAGTGTTACATACACATATATTTTTACCACACTGGTACCAAACCAGCTGACAGTGTTACCTTCAGTGGACAGCAGGGTCTGCCCCACAGAAGGCATCACCACAGCAAGATGTGAAGATGAAGAACTGCATTTTCGAATGCTCCTACCCTGAAGTCACTTCCAAGACAAGGATTCTCTCCTCACGGTACAGATGGAAGGTGAAAACCTAAACTGGGGAGCCTAAAACTTCTGTAACCCTCCACCAAGAGCCGTGGGTGTCCTCGCAGAGCCTCTGCTTCCCCAGATTTACCCATTTCTGCGTACCCAGCTCACTGTGAAAAATGATTTCACATATTCCTCACCTCCTGTGCTGTCTAAAGGTGCTTTTCCTGTCTAAGATCTGCTTTCTGAATGACCCGAGATGATGCTTAAACACTTGGATGTGACAATGTCCAGCTTGTAACAAGAATGAGCTGGAGGTGCTCGGCCGTGCTGGGACTTGCAGGCTTCCCATGCCTTGTCCTGTGCACCACAATGACTAATGCAGGGCTTGCTGCTGGCTAGGAATAGAGCAAGGAGGTATCTGAAGCTCTGGAGTTTATGGCTACCCAAGCAATGAAACTCAAGCACACTGCATACAATGAGAAATGTGAACCAAGACAAGGAATTCTGCGCTGCTGAAGACCCAAGAGATGGCTCTGGCATGGGGATAAGCTCCAGCCTTCAGCTTTATTTCTATCTTTTCAGCTTCTGGAAAAGGGAATGTAAATAAGTAGTAGATCAGATTGTTCTGGTACTCTAAAACGTCGTACTTTGTGTGCGTTTCAGATTATTCTCTTTCATACATGCAAAGGCACTGCTCAATGCTTTCCTGTCAGCAGCCAGCCCTAACCTAAAACACACCCGCTGGATGACGTAAAATTCCTTGACCAATATTAATAAGCAACAACCATCAACCACTCAAAAGAAGGTTGGAAATAGCTGATGTAAACCCCAGGACAAGCCCTTTGCAGAAGCTTCATCACTTCTAAGCCATTTCTGTTCAGGTGGGATGGACTCAGGCATCATCCTGGGAAGCAGCTGTGGTTGTATCCTGCCTTTACAGGGTTTCCAACCATGTTTCAGCTGAATTTCCCTGCACAACAGCGAGGGCTGGTGGCAGTCCTACTTATTTATGGAGTCAGTGGAAAGCCACATGAGCTGGCATCACTCCCACAGCATCCGTCACCTGCTCCTTGTACACAGCCAGCACTGGTTAGCAATAGAAAGCACACGAACATAAAGGGATGACTCAAATACATCATGAAACAAGATGAAATCAAATACTTTAATGTGCAGAGCGTTGTTTGTCTCAAACAACTAAAACAAATGTTGAAATCTGAGTTGTTTGGAGCTTGCTCATCACCGCGCTTTTGTCTCAGGAAACGTGATTTAGATCAAAGGGGAATTTCCCACCAGCATAAATCACCCCATATAAATATAAACCCAAAATAAAGTGTTTCAGTTGTGTTTTGTTATTATAACAAGAAACCCCACCAAGAGCAGCTGTCTTGTGGAAAGGAGCTGAAATACTTGGGGTTTTCTCAGGCCCTGACCTGTGTCCACCTGAGCCACCATCAACCCATGAAGTTTCTAAGGACCTTTTGCACCTCTTGACCTCACTTCTGTGGTCAGAGTCCTCAGCCAACCTGCACCACTCACAACACAATGTATTTAACCTTTAACTTAACCTTGGTGTTATCCCATGGATGTTCATGACCACAAACCAGACTGTTCCCATGGGATGCAGCCCTGTTTCCTGGTGCACCCTGCCCTGTTTTGATACTAAGGAGCACCGCAGTGGGTGACTGCCCCCAGAGGGGAGCTCATTGGGGAGCCTTCCTATGCTGCATTTAGAAAGGGTGACTGAAAAACCTGACAGTACGGATTTTCAGCTTCATACCTGACATTCTTTTATCTCCATTAACACCCATTAACACACTGACAAGACAAGAAGCAAACATCAAGACCAACTTACATAATACTGCTAATATCAATAGGTTGAGTCACAGAACTTATGTCAAAGTTTCCTGCAGAGACTGCTTCATTTGCTTATGGCTTTTCTTTTCCAAGCTCAAGCAAGCGCCTTTTGAGCCCATCTAAAACCAAGCCAAGAAACGCAAGTTTGAAGTTGACCTTCAAATGTGAGCGATGATAAAGGAGGCAACTTCACCAAAACAGAGCGAGCCCTCGCCATGAGCTGCAGCATCACCTTCCTCCTCTCACCCTGCTCCTCACGCTTCAGCAGAAGCCACAGCTCTCTGTAGCCCTGCTCGCCACGGCTCAGCCTGCTTTGTGCAGCTATTTCCAGCACTGCCGCTGTACAGCGGCCAAGTTCACAGCCTTATTTATGTGATTTTTCAGAACTTCCTCCAAGGGTGTCTTTTTTTTCCCATACTCAACGTTTTTGCTCTTCCTAGGTCAACCAAAAGGCATCTTTGCCTTGGCGTCGTGCCTATCTGCGTGCTCCAGTTGCTGCAGTTCTTATGGTGGGTGCCAGCTCCCAGGGCGGGTGGAAAAGGCTGGGCAGGGGGGACCCTACTTATTTACTAAGAGCCCATCAAACACTGTCTCTGTAGAGCAGATCCAGCCCTTCAGAGCTAAAAGGGAAAGGATTTGGGTGCTTCCCCATGGGAAGGCAGCTCCCAGGCGGCTTCCCGCTGGGTACATGCTTTGCAGACTGAAGGCACTGCTGTTTTTCCTCCATTTTTATGCCCATTGTGGGGCCTGCGTTGAGTTCCCCATCCTGTTGAGAACTTCACTGAGTGCTGTTATGTGCCAAGGCTCTGAGTTATTGCCCTGCTTGAAGGCAGAAAGGAAAGCAGAGGAAATGACACTGGCGGGGTGTGAGTGCAGAAGCGCCGTGAGCAGACACATGCTCCAATGGATGCTAACAACACCCTGCCAACGGCAGGAACTCCATTTTCTGACAGCTCCCCAACTCCAACCCTATAGTACACAAGGTCCACACAAGACTCTTGGATGCACATCAAGTGAGTGCAGATACGAAGCTTGCACGCCCCAGTTTACGACAGCAGAGGATAGACCTCTTTAACCCCCTGCTCTCATCTGTTAATAAAGCACAGAAAGGGTTTGGAGGTGCTGGGTTATGCTGAACTCAGGCTCCAAAACCAGCTCTGGGTCTCAACAGCCACGGATGAGAAGCTCTTCCTGGGGCTTTGCTCATTCACCCTCTTGGGTCCCCAAGCTCTGGGAGGGCTGCAGCTCCCCGCATGCAGAGCTCAGCATGTAGTTATCAATACAACACACCAAGGGAGGAAGGGGTGAGCGTACTTGTGTGATGGAAGCCACCAGGCTGAAACATTCACAGCATCAAACACCAGAGGACATTCAATCCTAGAATCCCAGGTTGGAAGCAACCTCAAAGATCATCTGCTCCAACCTTTCTAGGCAAAGCAAGACCTAGACTGGATGCCCCATTCAATGTACTCAAGTGTTTCTTCCCTTTATCAGTCGCTGCTTTGATTCTTCAACTTTTTTCTGCTTGACATGCAAATGCTCCCTCAAGCTCTTCCTGTTCCCATGTCAGGTGAATGCAGTCAGCTTTCTCACAGCAAAATCACCCAAAAGCTTTGCAACCTGAAAGACACGGGATTGCCGAGGAGGAGAGGCTCCATGCACAACCTCAGCTCCTGATCCAACCGGGCCCAGCCTCTGGTGCAGCAGCAGAGGTGTGGATGAGGCATGAGGATAGACCATGCCTAATTCTCAGCTGGTCCTGCAGCACTCAGCTCCTCCCTCATCCATGTTCATCGGGCATCACCCACCTGCGAGCGCAAGAGGCAGGGCAGGGCTGCAGCGAGGGACAGGGCACTGCTGGCAACTACTGCAGCCCTGAGGAACAGCCGAGTCAGCCTCACACGGGGTGAACTGTTCTCTCAGATTTCCACTTTCTGATGGTTCCAATCAAAATGCATCTGTTGGGAATTCACGTGATTCCGGGCTTTCCTGTGCGCCCCCCCCTCCCTTATTCCCTCATTCCCTTACAACGTTCAGTGCAGCATTTCTCACTGGTAAGTGCAATTCCTGAGGCTCCCAAGAGCCCAGATACTGGTGAGGATACGACGGCAATGGGGATAAGCTAAAGCCATCACTCACCGCTCTGGCAGACAGAGCACCCCGCAAGCAGGGAGACCCCAGCCCTGCACTCCTGACTGCGGAGAAGGAAGCAGGAGGCAATTCAAAGGTAATTACTTGAGAACAATTAATCCGAGGTGGGAAATAGCACACGCTGAGGGAGGTAACCACAGGAACTTGCCTTTGGAGCTACCCGCCAGCACTGCAAGCGCCAGAGGAAGAGTTGGAAAATCAGTGCGTGGGCAACGGCTCGTTCCCGTAGGAAGATTGCTTCATCTCGGGAGCACCCAAACATCTTCTTCTATCACCTTAATCAAGCCTTAATTCAACCTAGCAATTACATTAAAACAAGAAAGCAAAAGCAGGAGTATGGAAAACCTAAGCTGCCTGCCCAGATGAGTAACTCTGATAATTTCATTCACCTTAATCATGTGAACCAACGCTGTAATGAAGGTCATGGTGGGAACTCTCTACATCAACAGGAAGCATGAAGCAACGCTTGAAGCTGAAGATTAGCATCAGGAAACCTGCTGCTATTTGCTTTTCCTCTCTATTCTGTACTTTCATCATCTATAAAACAGGAATACCGACACTCTTGCTAGCCTAGTGATGCATACTAAAACAATTCATTAATGTTTATGGGGCAATCAGAGAGGTTCAGATGAAAGGGGCTGAAGATATGAAACCGCAAAAGGCTGTAGATGCTTCACATGTGTCAGTGCCCCAGGGCTGCAGAATTGCTCTACAAGGCCCAAACCAG